TATAGCATATCAAAGCCGGGTAGGGAATTTCAGTCTTTTAAATTGAAATGGAAGATCTGATGCTGAAGGGATGAGTGATATGCGTGGTATGAATACGGTTGCTTGCCAGTTGCTGGTCCATGTAGGATGACGACGTCTATGACGTTGGCATGGCAGGCTGTGACTCGACAACGTGTTCCACTGGTGATGTTGGGTGGGTCTAAAGATCTGAGGACAATGATGGGGGAACCAAGTTTAAGAGTAAGTTTGTGTGGTGGTAATTAAGCCTGTGGTATTAAGGGAATTCAAGAAATCCACAGGGAAATGGACAGCTTCGTTCACAGTTAGAGTCAAATCCGACAGACCCTTCCAAAAAAGTGCCGACTCAAATTTTGTTATTAGCAATGTTGTAAAAAGAATATTAAATTGATTTATTTTAGGGCAAGATCATAAATAAAGTCGAGAAATAGAAATTAGTGTTCCTAAACAATATTTTTCTATAATTTTTCCATCAAAATATGCATCGGGGTTTAAAGTTCTAGAAAATGAACACATTGAATGATAGTTTTGGTGTTTTTGACTTTAAAAGAATTTTTTTAAGTCAAAAAATGTTTTTTTTACCTACCGACCTAACCTTTAAAAAAATTGAGTTGGAACCGTAAACAGACATTTATTTTATTTTATGCCTAATATCGAATTATATCAGCAGTTTGTATGAATTGATATTAGAATTGAAATCTCCAATATCAGCAGTTTGTTTGGTCGGCAGTTAATAATTTCAGGAGCTTTCTGGTCAGCAGTTGATAATCACTGTCTGTGGGGCTGTCTGGGGGTTTAACATGTTTTGCCAACAATACATAATTCATGCAGGAATTGGTGACAATCGGCAGGAATAATGCCATTTATTGACTGGGGAAACATGGTCACTGTGTTTGTGTAGGCCTACGAACTATGATTGTTATTCAAGAAACAGGCATATTGATATTTCGGAAAACCTAGCTTAAGTGCAGGAGATAAAGGTATTATTAACTTGTATTAACTCAGCTACATAGTTTTCGTCGTCAAACTCAACCGAACGTGAAGATGTGGTGAGCACATTGTCATGAAGAGCCTCATTATGGATTTTGGGATATCCCAGGGGAGTCCAATGAGGGGAATTCCTTAAAGGGACAGTAGCCTCTAGGATTTTACTGCATACAACTGTACTTACTGTATAACAAATCGTCTATACCCACACGTATTTATTACCAGATACCTAATATAATTGTTATAATTAATTATACATTAACGCTACAAAATTTGAACGGCGCCATGACACCCGCGACCGTGCTGCCACCCCGAAAAAGTTGCGTATTTGACAATTTATTTTGCACGTTACAGACCAAGGGCTAATCACAAAAGTGCAATTATATTTACACCTAAATGCTATTTAACCAAACGATATTCATTTTAGGGCAAATTTATCCATATTATAATTGAAACTATATGCCGTTTATAAGATATTACAATCCTTTTGCTTTTAAATAAATAAATAAACACTCTCGGTCTGTAGCCCTTGGCTGGAAAGTGGTTTTGCGCAACTTATCAGATCGTGCGCTTTGAGTGGCGCCACCGTCGTTGTAATCAAACTGTAGTCGTTAGTTTTAAAACAAAACAAAAATATTTCTTATGATGATTGAACCATGAAACTTTTTATGTAGCGTAATTATAACCGAAATTAGCTGAAAATAACCCTAGAACCTAGAGTAAACACTTCCTTTAACTTAAAAATAACTTTGCTAATAAAAATTCGCTGTTTCCCTTTTATATTATACATTTTAAATTAAATGTATTTTAAATATGCATATATGCATTTAAAATACAGGTGCGCAACTTCTTTCTTTCATCTTAAATATATATATATATTTTTTGAATTTCCGCGGCTGTCGAGTTTCAAACTCCCGACCCCTAACCTATTAGGCAAGCATGCTACCACTGCGCCACAGTGCAAGCTGGCAACGACGCGTACTACATTGGTTAATGGTAGCGAGTAGTGACGTCGATCGATACAGCGGTATGGTATCGGTACACCAGTGTTAAATAAAACGGCTTCAAATTCAACTTTATCCTGTTTTCATCATTGCAAAAGTGTGCCAATATTACTCTATGAGTGGTAATGCATCGTTTACAGTCAAGTAGTTTCAAATCATGCGAGCAGATTCAGAGAACATAGCTAACAAAAAATGGGCTGTTCCCTTTTATAGTATAGATACTCACAATATAATTGTAATGACTAATGTAAGCTACATGCAATGACACTGACAGGTAGCTGTACCCTTGCTCTTGGGTTTGTATTTACGTTTGGATTGTTACTGAGTGTTAGCATGCATCAACTCATATAAAGTAATAATATAAAGTAATAGTACGTACTTAGGCAGTGAGTGTCGTGAACACTGATATGAGAGTGTAAAGTAGTGTTTCAGAATTGGCTCATTGTAGCAAAATGCTAACTATGCATAGTATGCAATCTATATGTAAATAATGATTTGATATTTCATGCTTAAAGATTTTTTATTACATTTTAGAAATGATGGCAGCTTGCAGGGTCAGTATGCTAACATCATGTATGATCGACGCATTGTTCGAGGAAATACATATGCACAGAACGTACTGCCGACAGTAAGTAAATAGTGCCAGTTTCTCTTGCTAGCTATAATGATTCATACCCTTGTAATTACTTGTGGGTATTTAGTATTGTCAGCAGATTCTGCAGTATGTAATTGTGTGAAGGTCGCAAAACATACAGGCAAGGATTCCTTTCAACTTGTACTGCAATTGGCTGTTGCCAACCACTCTCCCTCTCTCTCACCTGCTGTCACGCTCCATTGTCTCATATATATATGCTTAAATGATGGCAGTTACATGCAGCTGTTCATGACATATTTATAAAGGAAATAGTTCAGCGATCGGTCGCTCTCACATATATATGAGCTTGCGCGCCATGCACGGAGCTAATAGTATAAATGCCTGGTAGCAGTCTCGGTGATTCCGAGGATTTTGGCTTCAGGTGTTCTTCAGCTCGAAGACATTTAGCGCACTAATCAATGCGGACAGGTAATTGCACTGCCCCAGAGGGTTCATAATTTATATACCACTGCCCTGGCAGCGCGTGCGGTGTGTGTGCATCTTCCTAATTGCTAACCTAGCTGCACCTAACAGCTAGTTGCAGGTTTTTGTAACTTGACTGTTTGCATTTGTATGTCACTATCTATAAAGACAAATAAATATTAGCCTCTCTCCGGTTGTGTAATTCTTCCTGCTTGACTGTTTTTAAAATCCATGTTATCTCGTGTATCAGAAACACAATGGATTCAACTATATTGTTATTCGGCATTTAAGAGTCACGGATGAATGCATTGGTGAAAAAAAGTCTGAAGACAAATTTAGGTTTAACAGGAGGATTTAACATTTGAAATATGTCAATAAAGTAATTATTTATATGCCACTTATGCCGCTTTTATATTGGGGTTTATCCCGCTTCAGGTCCGGACCTGAAGCGGGATAACTCCCAGTATAAAAGGTCGAAACATACTTAGCCCGAGCTAAAGTTATCCCGCTCTAGGGGGTGGTTCAGGTCTGCTTCAGACCCGAGCTAACGTCAGTATAAAAGATCTCAACTTTAGCTCGCTCTAAAGTCGCTCTTAGCTCGCAGTATAGAACGACTTATCCCGAGCTAAAGTTATCCCTCTCTAGGGGGTGGTTCAGGTCTGCTTCAAACCCGAGCTAACGCCAGTATAAAAGATCTCAACTTTAGCTCGCTCTAAAGTCGCTCTTAGCTCGCAGTATAGAACGACTTATCCCGAGCTAAAGTTATTCCGCTCTAGGGGGTGGTTCAGGTCTGCTTCAGACCCGAGCTAACGCCAGTATAAAAGCTATCTCGACTTTAGCTCGCTCTAAATTCAGTTACAAAAAT